TGGCCTGCCATTACTGACCCAGGTCTCTGTCCCTCTTTATTATTTGTTTATCATTTTGGGCTACAAGCCCTCACATTCCTCCTCCTCAGTGCTCCAGACCTCGCCACTTCAGCCCTTAATTTTCTTTTTAAATCCAGTCTTGGTCCTGCAACGTAAGTGAACAACCCTATTCTTTCATCGCACTATGGAGACTGACAGTGGGCCACATGAATAAAAGTAGTGGCCCAACTTGCAGTTTTCACTATGGGTCCCACCCCCTACTAAATAAAGGGCACATCTGTCTCACTAGTATGCTCTTCAAAATAATTAAGTGTGTCCTGGTAAAGCAGTCTTTACCATTAATGTCAAAGAGTTTACAGTCCCATACGAACAACGCCACAGTAGTTGCTTTGTCCTGTTACCAGACCAAGCTTGTTTCACCAGCGATACAGCAAAGCAGTCACTGAAACCAAGTTTGCTCATAGGCAGCCCCAAACAAGTAGACAGGAACCCCAAATCTCAAGTACTCCTCCCTGCAGATAAGATTTAGGGGCATTTAGAAGACAGAGACATGGTAGTCTGGAGAGTGGGAACAGGCTGTGGTAAGAGTTTCTTTCAGAAAGGGGAGGAGTATATGCTCACACAGCCCAGTCATCTTCCTATAGCCTTATGAGTGCCCAATAAGAATAGATGTTAATACAGAAGTGGAGACAAAGGAGCTAAAATGTATAGAAAGCAAGGCCCTGCATCGTTTGGGGTTCAGCTTTTTGTAGTGAATTGGTCCAACTGGCAGTTTCACAACGGGTCCAGAGTCAGTTCTTTTTAAAAAAAAAAAAAAAAATCTGTGTTGACAGAAAGCCTCAGCGTTCCATTTCCCTGCCTGAAAAACCCATTGCAAGGCAACGGGAAGGAAAGTCTATGGATGCTTACATGTCCCGCTCTTCACAGGATGCATGCTAAGCCCTTGATGTGAGCGCTCTCAGGTTACAGCGTTGGGCACAAGTGAAGGGTCTGTTTTCAGCTTATGTGAATTACCTTTGATTTCCTGGGGGGGAAAAGTTGCCACCATCATGACCTGTCTCAGGTGATATCCGTAGCAAAGCTAATGGAGTATACGGTTAAACAATTTCTAAAACTGAGGATAATGACAAATAGCTCAAAGTAAGTGTGGCTGGAGGACTTATTCAGCAATAATTGTCTTATGGTGTTTTGAAATCCGTTATAAACTACATCTGGGCCACAGAGACCTTGACAGTCTAATTGGGAATAATGTCATGTTTCAATCACTGTAGTTGTTATTCTTAGTAAAATGAAGAAACTAGATTGCTCTTTTTGACTTTCTCTCATTTTATTTTTCCTTATGAAGACGTTTTCACCCGAAATGGTTTTAGTGTTTGTTTGGGATTTTTATTTTTATTTTTTATTTTTAGCACTTTTTTTTTTTTTTTTTTTGGTTTTTCAAGACAGGGTTCTCTGTGTACCTTTGCGCCTTACCTGGAACTCACTTGGTAGCCCAGGCTGGCCTCGAACTCACAGAGATCAGCCTGGCTCTGCCTCCCGAGTGCTGGGATTAAAGGTGTGCGCCACCACCACCCGGCTATTTTTAGCACCTTTTAACGGAAACTTAATGTGCAAATCATGATATTCCATTTTAGCATGTACAGCTCCTAAATTTTTGCAAGATTGGGCAATCACTACCACTAGCCACATCCAGGACATTTTTAGCATCCTCAAAGGAATCCCTGTAAATGTTCACAGCCATCCTCCATTTCCCCCTCCCATCTCCTAGGAACCACTGGTCTATGATGTGACTTTATTGATATGTGTATTCTGGGAATTTCATGTCAGCGAAATTATATAACATATGCCTTTATCACTGGCTTCTTTTACTTTGCATAATGTCTTGAAGGTTCATCCATTTTGTAGTATGCATCAGAATCTCACTTACAGCTAAGGGTACAGCTCAGTGATGCAGCATGTGTTTGGCATGGGTAAGACCACAGGTTCAATTCCCAGCACTAAGCATACTCACCTAATAGAACAGAACAAACCAAAAACTTCCATTAATTATGGCTAAGCAAAATCCAGCTGTGTGTCTTGATCACGCTTCATTTACTCTTTAGTTTTAGTCATCATAACAAAGTAGCTGGGGTAGTCCAATTATGAAGAAAAAAGTTTTTTTTCATAGTTTTGCAGATTCTAGTATATGATCTAGAGTATATGATCTATATAGTATATGATCTATTGGCCAAGTTGCATTGGGCCTGTGGTGCATCATCCAGGGAGTCTAAGGCAGAGCACAATCACTTACCTCATAGGCTTGTTTGGATATGAACTAAAACCCTAAAGGTCCATGTGCTAAAAGTTTGTTCCCTAACTTGTGGTACTACAGCAAGGTGGTAGAACCATTAGAAGTAAGGCTGGTAGGAAGTATTTGGATCAACAGAAGCCTACCTTCAAAGGAGACATTGGAGATATGATTCTAGTCATTCTCTCTCTCTCTCTCTCTCTCTCTCTCTCTCTCTCTCTCTCTCTCTCTCTCTCTCTCAAGCAAGGGCTTCATGTGGTGCTGGGGGTTCTAGTCCATTGTCTTGTGCATGTTAGGCAAGCATGCTCCCAGATGAGCTACATTGCTATTTACCCCAGGCTGGCCTGGATCTTCCTGTCTTAGCCTCCCAAATGCTAGTATTACAGTCATGTGCCACCACGCCTGATTTATTTTCTCTCGAAAATAACTATGTAAGGCATTCATATGATTTCAAAGTCAAGGCTGTTGAAGTATGTATAGAGAGGTCTAGCTGTTATTCCTATTCCATTCATTCTATTATTCCTCTATGTCTTAGTTAGGGTTTCTTTTGCTGCAAAGAAACACCATGACCAAAAAGAAAGTTGGGGAGGAAAGAGTTCATTCAGCTTTACACTTCCACAGGAGTGTTCATCATTGAAGGAAGTCGGGACAGGAATTCAAACAGGGCAAGATCCTGGAGGCAGGAGCTGATGCAGAGACCATGTGTGTGTGTGTGTATGTGGGGGGGGGTACTGCTTAATAGCTTACTCCCCCTGGCTTGCTCAGCCTGCTGTCTTACAGAACCAGAGCCACCAACCCAGGGATGGCTCCACCCATCATGGACTGGGCTCTCCCCCATTGATCACTAATTGAGAAAATGCCTTACAGCTGGGTCTCAAGAAGGCATTTCCTCAGCTGAGGCTCCTTCCTCTCCAATGACTCTAGCTTGTATCAAGTTGACACAAAACAAACCAGTACACCCTACGTGTAATTTTTTATTAGTTTGTTATTTAGATTGCATATCTACTTTATTGACATACAAAGCAATGCATACATTTTGCTCTCTATTTTCCCATCTGTTTTACAAGAAGATAAAATCTACACTGCCTCCTCCTACCCTTTTCACCTGTCTATATATCCTGGAGTTTCACAGCATTACACAAAGATTGCTCTCTTCTTCTCAGTGCAGCTGGACCGAGCTGCATTGTGTGGATGCAGCTCCATGCAGCTGCATTGTGTGGCTGGACCATGATCAATTCAGTCTGTCCTCTGTGTGTGGTCATGGGGGTTCAGGATACATTTGTTGCCTGACTAAATTGTGCCAGGCACTAGGAGTAAAAACAAAGCCAGCTCTGGCTTCAGGAAGCTCAGCACGAGATCTCTACAATAAAGAGCATTCCTTAAGTCCAAGAGCACGCCTGGATCCACTGAGCACAGGGACACGTTACCGAAAAGAAACGAACCACACAGAGTGGACACAATAACCTCTTATTGACCAGCATCATGCTGCACTTGGGCCTTTGTCTGGGAAGGTTCCCTTGGATGTGGTTAACAGTGATTGATCAGGAGTGCCACCAATTGGTCAGAGTAGGAAAAGCCAAATGAAAGAGACCTCGAGTTAGGATTCTAATGACCAAATTTCCTTGGCAAGAAGAAATGTAAGTTATTGCTAGTGCTGTGGCATAACAATAGGAGCTAACATCTGTACAAACTTTATCAGATATTGTTCTCAGTATTTATGTACATTAAACCTTAAAAAAAAATCTCCCAACAGCCCTACGAACTTAGAATTATTATCTACATTTCTCCTTCAGTACAGAAGTTGAGACACAGAGATCTGAGCTATCGCACTTTTGCGGAAAGTCACACAGGCGGGTGGTGGGGAAGCAGACAGGCATCACAGATAGGGTAGTTGCAAATAATGTAGTAAGAAGTGCATGCCATGGAGCTGAAGGGATGGATGGCTCAGCAGTGAAGAGCATATCATGGCTGACAAACATTCAGAAACTCAAGTTCCAAGATAGGCACGCACGAGGTGTACAGATATGCGTGTAGACAAAACACTTATGAGCATAGAATAACAAGGTAACTTTTCTTAACACAAGTATGTGCACCAAAGCACCTGCATGAGGCACAACTCTGACACCTTTCTTAACCGCGCTATTTCAGGCTTACAAGAAAGAGCCCAAGGTCGTCCCCAAGCAGAAATCACCCAGCAAGCTGCAAAGTGACTTTAAAGAAACAAAGAGTTGAACCTAAGGTTAAAACAAAACTGGTGGATCCTCTTAAGTTCACGTCAGACGGGTAATGTGCCAACGTCGTAACAAGGTTTAGTGGGCGGCACACATCACGCATGGGCGTGAGTCCCCAATCATCACGCATATGAACCAAAAAAGGATCAGTGTGGCACTTCCGTGGGGAAGGATCAAGTCAGTCCTACCAGTTTTTCACAGAGGGTGACTAGCGTAGTGCCGATCTATTTAGTTTTTACATACAAAATCTCATACAATTAAAAACTGCTGGCGGGATTTTGTGAGCATTCTCTTGTTTCTGCCCTAGAAAATGAACTCAGAAGTAAAATTAGTGAGCGGACGCTTAATTATGCAAATATATTCTCCGTAGCTCCACCTTTCACTCGTCCTCCGCCGGGCTGTTTGTTGCTTTTCGGCTGTGAGTCGTGAAAAGAAGAGCTGCGCCTCCCATGGCGGAAGTTAGTTTCGCACTTTACGGCAACAGTGTTACCTGGGGCCGGAAGTTGCTGGATACAGAGGTGCTACGGGAAAGGCTCTAGGTACCGGGAACCTTGGTTGGTGTCACGGCTCCGTAGTTTATCTTTAAAACTTAACTTTTTGTTGTTGTTCTTGAGTCTTCAGAAAGATTAATTGCTTCACGTGTTAGGAGTCTGAGGCTCTCACCATAGCAAGGCCCCCTTTTACACCCGCTTAACCGGATCCCACTGGTTAAACAGCTCGCCTTTCCCACCGTACATGGTTTTAGTTCTGTTCATTGGGGGACTCCCATCCCCGGGGAGATCTTCCCTCTGAGACTCCAGACCCCTCCCCGCTTTGGTCTCCGGCCCCGCGGGGGACCCACCCAGCCCACCCGACCCGGGTGCCATCAGGAATGAAGCTTGACGGCGCTGAGGAGAAACCACGGGACGGCCCCTCCCCGGCCGCAGAGGGGTCTCCCCCTTCCCTCGAACATGCCTTCTCCAAGATGCTGCACGGTCTTAGCCGCCAGGAGTCCGGACCGGGCGACGCAAGAAATGCCATTCTTAAGGACCTCGGTGCTTTACTAGAAGCCACCGAGAGTGACAGATTATTTGAGGGGAGTAGGAGTGGCGAGTCGCTCCGGGGCATGCCCGAGATCCTGGGACAGGTGGCGAAAGCCCTGGAGACGTTCGCAGCCCCACCCAAGGAGAAGGTAGATGGAGGCGATGGGCATTCCGGAGTGGCTGAGAAAGCAACTGAAGTTGGGTTGCTGTTTCTTAAGCTGCTGGGGAAGGTTGCGACGGCTAAGCGTTCTCCCGCCTGCCCCGCGTGGAAGACAGGCCTCCGCCACTTGGCGGGGCCCATGTATGTGTTTGCCACCACACACAGATCGGAGCGGCCATGGACCAGTCCAAGGTCGCAGCATGTGGCCGATGAGGTGCTGTCCTTACTGCTTGGAGTGACTGAGTGCAGTTCCGTGGCAGGATTCCTGTGCGGAGAAAATGAGGACGATCGAGGGAGCTTTGCTGCGGTCTTGGGGCTTCTTAAACCCCATTTGAATAAGTGAGTACTGCACTTCTCACTCTTACCTGGCAGGTAAAGATGTTGGCATATTCGATCTCTCAAGGACCAGAGTGGTTTGTGACTTGCTAGAAATAAGATAACCAGACAGAAGCAAATTCGAGATTAGAACTGAAGTCTTCAAACTCCGTTTTCTGCACTGAACGACTGCCTTGGGAAGTTAGAAATTCTGATAATAGCCATGGAAATTGTGTCCCATTTATATGGAATCAAGTATCTTATGCTAAGTACCCTTGGGTATTTGGAAATGACCCAGTCTTTCGGCTTGAATTTAAATATTGAGACCTCTAACTCTAATAACTCTTAATTATTAGATTAGGGTGATTATTATATCAGAAGTAATAATTGGAATAAATAATGAAAACCCTTTATTATTATAAAGTGGATTGAATTGGATTGCTATTAAAGTACTTGCTGTGGGTTTTGACTTGCTACTTTTAGTGTTTTGTTTTGTGCCAGGTTTTAATTTTGTTTTTATTTATTTATTTTTGAGATAGGGTCTCACTATGTAGCCTTGGCCACCCCGAAACTAGACCAGCATGGAACTAACAGAGATTAGTCAACCTCTAATTTCTGTGTGTGCCGTCACACCTGTTCCAGGCAGGGTTTTTTTGTTTTTTTGGGGGGGAGTGGGTGGGTATTATTTTTAATTATGTATAGGTGTGTGTCTGCATAAGAGTGCAGGTGCCTGAGGAGGCCAGAAGTGTCTGATCCCTTGGAGCTGGACTTACAGATGATTGTGAGCCACCCGATAGAGTTGCTGAGATCTAAGTATGGGTCCTTTGGAAGAGCAGCAAATGCTCTTGAGCACTGAGCAATCTCTCTAGCCCCTTCAGGCAGGTTTTCATGGAGCCAAGGATGATGGCCCTGAATTTCTGATCCTGCCTCCAAGTGCTGGGCTTACAGGCAAGTACTGAGATTGCATATGTGCCCCACAGGCATGCCTCACCATTGGATTGAGCCAGGGCTTTGTGCATGTTAAGCAAGCACCTTACCAACTGAGCTAGAGCCCCAGGCCTCTGGCACCAGAATGATGAGACAAAATAAACTTGGAGCTAAAGGCTTTCAAACTAGTGCTTCCTTCTTTTTTTTTTTAAAGATGTGGGGTTGGGGATTTAGCTCAGTGGTAGAGCGCTTGCCTAACAAGCACAAGGCCCTGGGTTCGGTCCTCAGCTCCAAAAATAGCTAGCTAGCTAGCTAGCTAGCTAGATAAAGACGTGCTTACTTTATAGGCTGTCTTTGAGCTCCCTGTGTAGTCCATGTTGGCCTCAACCTTGAGAGATCTCCTGCCTCAGTTTCCTCAATGCTTAGATTACAGAGGTGCAACACTGTGCACAGTTTAGTGTTTCTTTGTGTTGTTTCGGGTAGGACTAGGTCAGGTAGCTTCCACGAGTCTTGTTTCATTATTTGTAATTAAAGGCGATATACCTATTATACAGTTACTGTTTTGAGGAGGTTGAGTCAGATGTGCTAACTCCTTTTATAAACTATAAGTTGGTGCTCATGTACTGATTTGTTTATTGCTTTGACATTGTACTGGTAAGACACCTTTACTCTCCTCTCCTTTCTCAGCACATTTCATATCATCCACCAACATGACCACCACTGACCCCACAGATCTTTTACATAGCTGTAGTTGTGAATGGCTGCTACTTATTGAAAATGCTTATATTACCCAGAGTTTGGGCAATTGCTAAGTGTATATAGTGTAAGTTATATAAATTAATTCAATTCAAATCATAAAATGTATTTGAAAAGAAAAGTTATATAAAGATATATATACAAACATATACGCATATAGGTATATGCATATACATATATGTATAAATCTGTTAAAGACAAAAAAAACCCCTCTTTTTAAGCTTAACTAGTTTCCTTTGCTAATGCCATGTTATTTTACTTAGTGTAGTTTCATGTGTCCTTGAAGGGAATCCTGGAAGAATAATCCTGCTGTCAAACATGTTTTCTCATGGACTCTGCAACAAGTCACTCAGCCCTGGCTGAGCCAGCATCTGGAAAAGATACTTCCTCCATCTTTGCTCATCTCAGATGATTATCAGACTGAGAATAAAATCCTGGGTGTCCAGTGCCTCCATCACATTGTGGTTAATGTGGTAAGCAGCCTCAGCTCTGGCCTATACTGATTATACAGTTACTCATGGCTGCTCTTCATTTCTGATCTATTTTTGCTCTATGTTTATGTCTTATAAGTAACTTCCTTTACATGTTGTCATTTAATTCACTTATTTATATTTTTCTTCATATGTTATGTGTGTGTGTGTATATATATATATGTACATATATTATATATACATATATAATATATGTGTCTTTCTCTCCCAACCTGGTAGAAGTAGTATCTCATTGGTATTATAATAAATAAAAGGGTAATTTTAGAAGAGATAAGATCATTATAAAAATGAAACAAAAGCAAAACCAAAGCATACATATAGAAATTAACAGGTAGTCTCAAGTTTAAAAAAAAAAGATCAGAACTCAAAAGGAACCATACCAAAATGTGCAAAGTGTTACTGCAGGAGACTTTTGTATTATGGAGCTTTTAAAAGGCACGCAAAAGTAGATTGTGGTTTACTGACTCTCCATATGCCCATATCTAACTTAAAATTTTCTATATTTTGCCACTCTTGAGAAACTTTTAACTGGATAATTTGTGTGTTTACAGCCAGCTGCTGATTTGCTGCAGTACAACAGAGCCCAGGTCCTCTACCATGCCCTTTTTAATCACTTGTACATGCCAGAGCACGACCTCATTCAGGTATTGTAAGATATACTCCTAACTGTCTGGGTTCCAGCAGGAGAAGGTAGTACTATGTAAGCAGGAGCAGTTTAGAGCTGTTTTCCCCTTGGAAAATGAGAGCACTTGAAAGCTGCTGTCTACTAGAGAGCATCTCAATGTTAAGTGGGCATCCACTTTCCTGAGCATCCTCAGAGTGGCCCAGGTTTTATCTTTATGAGTGTTAACCATATGCCGCTTGGGGGTAGGTCTGTTTTTATTAAGTTAAATGTTCTTCCTCTCTGCTGCTCCATGTCAACACATGTATTTGAAACCTCTTGTGTATAGATACTTTAGTGTCATTCTCCCAGTCAACAGCCATTACCTGATACCTATTATGTGTCTATAGAGGTTCCAAGAATAAGTGACTCAGAGTGTTTCTGCCTTGAAACCCTTTGGAAGACTTCTATATAAATATATAACTGTACACATATATCTCTGTGTATGTGCAATCCAGCAATAGCTATATTACAAGAGGTGTAAAGTGTGACCAGCAGCAACAGGCAACTAGCGAGGTTGAGGGTGGCTTTAGGAGACTGTGGGACTGATGGGATAATGTTTATGAAGGGTAAAAAGTAGTTTCTTGGGAGGGAGAAGAAAACTAAAGACAAGAAACAAGCTACACAAAGTGGAGACATCTTGTTTTTCTTTGTGCTGGTAGGTATTGAATCCCAGTCCTCATACATGCAAGGAAAGTGCCCTGTACTGAGCCTCCTCAACCTGTTGCTTTGGTTTTTTGTGAAGAGTCTGATTCTAGCCCAGGCTGGCCTGGGACCTGCACTGGCCCTAGCTACTAAGTGCTGGGATCGCAGGTGCACAACACAGTGTCCAGCAGCTCCTCCTGGCTTCTGTTTTGTGCTGTCTCTACCTCTAATGTTTTGGGTACCGAGAATCAAGTTACTCTCAGATGGAAAATTTATTAACATGATGGAGAAAGGAGATTTTTAAAATCGTCAGACAGCTAGAAAAGCCTGAGTTCCTCAGAGTGCTAAAAAGGAAAGCCTAGACACCATAACTTCAGATAAAGGAGTTTGAACCATCTTAGATTCCGTGGAGCAGATTGATGTAAAATGCCCATAACTGTCATGTGTCACTGAGTCTAAGGGACAATAGACCTAGATCCCTGGGTTAAGGAAGGCCTGAGCTTGCCAATCTTTCCATTTCACAGATTAGTGAAGAACAGTTCTGGAGAGGAAGTTTGAAAATTTGCAGTAATATGTACCTTGTACTTTAGTTATGGGTATCTTTTAGAATTCTGTGGACATATCCTAGGGACAGTAGATTAATGAGGATCTTAGAAAAGTGAGAAATGTTGTGAATGCAAATGAATGAACTATGGTTTCTTTTCATTCTTTCCTCCTAGGCTGTGCTGCTGTGCCTCCTAGATTTATTCCCTGTCCTAGAAAAAGCTCTGCACTGGAAGGGAGATGCAGCTCGAGCCACTACACACTGTCATGATGTACTACAGCTGATCCTCACCCACATGGAGCCAGAGCATCGCCTTCTCTTACGGAGGACTTATGCCAGAAACCTGCCAGCTTTTGTGAAGAAGTGAGCACCTGGGCTTCTGCTCTGGTCATATATGCCATGTTCAACTTCTTATCACCACATTTTCTCTTATTTTTAGGCTGGGGATCCTAACTGTCCGGCACTTGAAGAGGCTGGAGAAAGTTATCATTGGTTATCTGGAGGTTTATGATGGACCAGAAGAAGAAACCAGGTTGAAGATACTGGAAACCCTGAAACTTGTCATGCAGTATACTTGGCCCAGGTATAGCATCCAAGCTGACAGATGTGCTAAAAGTTCATGCTTAGGTTGACTTTCTCTTCAGAACTTGTCTGGGTAAAATATTCAGGACATTCAGTGTATCTGAATCTTTTTCACTGTCTTCATTTCTAGAATTACAGCTACTTCTGATACTCATATTTGAACCCCTTATTTGAACTGCTTTCATCAGCCAGTAGTTCTAAGTTCTGACAGTTAAATCACTTCTGTTCCTTAAAAGTTCTAAGGCTGGGCACTGTGGCACAACCTTTTAATTCTACCACTCAGGAGGCAGAGGCAGGCAGACCTCTGTAGGTTTGAGGCCAGCTAATCTATATAATGAGTTTCAGGTCACCCTGGGCTACATAGAAAGACCCTTTCTCAAAAAGACAAAAAATAAAACAAAACAAACAAACAAAAAACTCACACACAAACCAACAACAAACAATTCTATGGTCACATAAGTTGGGAAACCTCGCAGGTTGTCTTACTTTTCTATTGCTGTGGTAAGACACCATGACCAAGGCAGTTTACAGAAGAAAGTTTATTTGGGGCTTACAGTTTCAGAGGGTTAGAGTCCATGACTATCACAGAAGGCAGCCTGATTATGGCTATGGGGCAGTAACTCAGAGCTCACATCTTGAGACATGGAGGATGAAGGAAGAGCGAGCCAGCTAGAAATGGCATGGGCTTTTAAAACTTCAAAGCCCACCCCTAGTGCCACACCTCCTAACAGTCCCACCAACTGGGACCAAGTATTCAAATATATGAGCCTATGGGGTCCATTCTCATTCAACACACTACATAGAGGGTCTGTCCAGATTGTAATTATAATTTATATCAAAATACTAAGGGCTATTTAGGGCTGATGTGTACTAAAGTGGTGGCATACTTGCCTATTATACACAAGGGTTTTGATCCTTATCACCGCTCCTCCCCAAAAAGCCTACTTAGAGAAGTGTTTCAATAGGCATGTTTAACTGTGTTGATCCTACAGGTCCTCAGTCTAATTGAAAAATGGAGTGCTTCAAGGCACATCTCTCACCATTTGCAGAGCAGTGATTGGATTGTCCACCCAGCCATATCATTTCCTGTCTCAACCTTCCTAGTGCTGGGATTAATAGCTTGTGTGCTTCCCAAATACTGGTAGCAAAGGCATGAGATCTCAAATGCTGGGATTAAAGGTGTGTCCCACCACTGCCTGGCTCTGTTTCTTTTAGACTGGATTAATCTGTAGTCCAGGGTGGCTTTGAACTCACAGAGATCCAGACGATCTCTGCCTCCCAAGTGATAGGATTAAAGGTGTGTGCCACCACTGCCTGACCTCTATGTTTAATCTAGTGGCTGGCTCTGTCTTCTGATACTTCAGGCAAATTTTATTAGAGTACATACAACAAAACATCACCACAGTGGCCAGTGACTGAAAGTTCGTATTGCCACTTAAGCACTACCAGTTACCCTTATTTCCCTAAGGCAAGGATTTTCTGTAGTAAAGCTCAAGTTCTAGAGCCTCCCATGTTCTAAGTGTTGGGATTATAATCACAAACCAATACCTGCAGCCTCACTTTAATGTCCGGGCATTAAGTTACTTGACTGTGTGGGGGCTGTCTCATCTCAGGTCTAAATTACGGGACCTTGAACAGGAGAGATCTTGGCTCACCATATTCTCAGGTCTAAATTACGGGGCCTTGAACAGGAGAGATCTCGGCTCACCTTATTCTCAATCCATACGTAATAGGGCAGTTTCCTTGAACAGAATCAAGCATTGGCAGGAAACCAAGTTGAGTTTTCTGGTATTTTTGTTTGTTTGAGACAGGGCCTGGCTGTAGCCCTGGCTGCTCAGAAACTCAGAGATCCACCTGTCTCTGCTTCTGACTGGTACAAAGTGTTCTTGAGCAAGTCAGTGTGTGTACATAGGCTGGGTGCTGTAGAAAGTAACTTTGAGGCTCATAATCTGCAGTCTTGTCTTTGGTCCTGTTTGCAGTGCTATAATAGCAAACATCATTTGACTTCAGTTTTCCCATGTCTGGACCAAGACTTGTCCAAGTTTAACATTCCAGTTTGGAATATGAAGTTTTTCTTCCTGGTTCCAGAATTTCCTGCAGAGTTGTAGTCTTGCTGAAGGCTCTTCTGAAACTGATATGTGATGTAGCAAGGGACACAAGCCTCACAACTGAGGCCACGAAGAGCGCCCTGCTCCAGGAAGCCACAGACTGCCTGATTCTCCTGGACCACTGTTCTGAGGGGCAGGTGAAGGTAAGGCTGGAGCCTGCAAGTAGGTTTCAGTCGGCCTCATTGTTCCTAGGTAACCCCAGTGATTGTCATTGGCTACTCGTATGCCCAGCCAAGTTTGGACCTCAACGTGGAGGGTGTTAGGCCCCCACCTCTGTACCCTCTAGTCTTGGATTGTTTGTTCGATACCTTACCCTATTTATTTTTGGTGCTAAGGCCGAACTCTTTTAATACTATTCAAAACCACTTAGAGGATCAGATGTTACTGACATATCAGGATAAGAAAGAACAAGCCACGCCACCAAGATTTTATAAAATTTAAGTTCTAAGATTGACATGACACCTACTGTGCTAGTGAGACACCTCCAAGTTCTGTTCTAGATTATGAATTAAAACAGGTACCAGAACTGGAGAGATGGCTCAGCGGTTAAGAGCCCTGGCTGCTCTTCCAGAGGTCCTGAGTTCAATTCCCAGCAACCACATGTTGGCTCACAACCATCTGTAATGTGATCTGGTGCCCTCTTCTGGCGTGCAGACAGAACACTGTATAAAATAAAGAAATAAATCTTAAAAAAAAAGGTACCAACAAAGCCCAAAGAAAGGAGGCTGTAAGCTGCCACGGAGTAATCCTGTAACTGAGATACCAGAACGTGGCCCCCCAAGATGTCTGCCTATTCTTGTGTGCCTGTGCAGGTAAATGCAACGGAGGGTGTCATTCCTTAAGCACCGTCCCTGCTCTGACTCGGAACTCTTCAAGCAGGCTTGGCTGGCTGGTGGGCCAAGTAGGCCCCGGGGATCTGCTTGTTTCCTTCCAGTACTGAGATTACTTGGTGTATGTGCCTACTGATGACAAGCGTGGGCTTTAAACATGGGACTGAACTTAGGCCCTCATGCTCATCACTGAGCTAGCTCCCCAGTTTCCAAATACTTAATTTACCAGCAGGAAATTCTTCCTTCAGTTTCATAGTCCACAGAATTCGGAGGACTGTAGTTTATGGTATCTACAAGTGCATTTATTTACATGTAATTAAAGGACTAATTTCCCATTTTTACCACAATTAGAAATCTCTAAAGTTTAATGGAGCATGAGAAGAAACTCATGCCCCAAAAGGGAATATAGTTTGTTTTTCAGTTCCTTTAAACATTTCATTACAGCCCCTTAAAACTGTTTGTAGTTTTCCAGCCAGAGGTCCAGCTTGAGTTTTTCTGGCTAGAATGAAGGAGGCTCTTCAGAGCCAGTGGGCTACTTTTAAGTTTTTAAGTAACACCTGTTCTGATGGTGGCACTCTCTCCCAATGCCCTGCACACTCATTTTTTGAGTATGTGAAGAAAAGAAGACAATGGGGATATAGGTTTTACAAAAGTTAATGCCTGTTTGGTTTCATGTTGCAGGGTCTTCTGGCTAAAATTGCCCTATCCTGTGAAGACAGCACAGTGGTGAGCTGCATCAGGAAAGTGCAGAACTCTGCAGATGTTCTCTGCAATGACACTTAAGATGACTAACAGATCATCTGGATGGAGTTACGGAAAAGTCTATTTTTATATTAAACACTTGTTTAAGTTGGAACTTTTGTTTCCTTCAGTTTGTCCTTATAAGAGAAACTGAACAAAAAACTGAAGCCAGGCACTTGTGGCACATGCCTTTAATCCCAGCACTCAGGATGCAGAGGCTAGTTCGAGTTCAGCCTGAGTTTGAGGCCAGCCTGGTCTACAAGAGAGAGTTCGAGGACAGCCCAGGCTACACAGAGAAACCCTGTCTCAAAAAAACAAAAAGGATGAAGAAACACATTTCTAAGTAAAAACTGGGAGGGGAGAATTAGCACTTGTAATTTAGGAATATTTACAACCACAATGCCATTCTAGCTCCAGGAACTCATCTGTTAGGCTCCTCAGGCTCAAGCTGTTACAGCACATGTTATAAAAATACTCTTTACAATATAAGGCTTTTCTCCATTCACTCCAGATTTTTTGCTCCACTGAAGTGACATAAATATTAACAATATAAATACAGTATGAAACAGCACAAAAGAACACAGTTGGAAGTGTTGACTTTCCAGGATAAAAGATGAAGGGAACTCATGTGGTTTTGGCTTTAGTCATGGGCTCTGTCTCCTGCTCATACTCTATTTCCACATAGGCCCGTTTTTTCCGCAAAGGTCCTTTCAAGGGTGCTTTGCCTTTGTGTCTGGCCTTAAGGGCCTTTTCTTCTTCTTCTTCACTGGAGGATTCATCATCCTGTTCATCGCTGCCAGCATCCAGTTTATCCATATCCTAATAGGTGGAGACAGAAGTCAGACAGGGAAAGTGCACGGTTTCTCCACACTCCCTGCCTTGCTCAGCCAGTTTAGAACAGACCAGAGAACACATCTGCGCATGCGTGCAGATCCCTCCCTTCCCTCCTTTACTGCAGGCCACAAGACATTCTCTGTCCCACAGAGCTCACCTCAAAATCACTCAGGTCACTCTCATCTACCTCATCATCTTCTACAAACTCTCTTTTTCCCACATCCTAAAATAAAACAGTTACCAGGTTAGGGAAAAAAATAATGAAGATCCAGTTTAGACATCTAATTTTACCTCTTTTCATAAATAAGTGAAGCAGAGTCTACCTACATATCCAGCTACCAAAATCTATTACTCTCAAGTTTAATGTTTATAAATTAAAAGAAATCTGGCGCTGGCAGACTCTCTTAGTCCAATTGGGTGCTGGCAGAAAATTTCTTAATAAAGGAAAATGAAGAAAAAAAAAGAGATAAAAATAAAATAAATTAATTAAAAGAAAAAATAAGGGTGTAAAAGTCAATGTATAGTTTATTGGCTGAGCTCTGCTAAATCAATTAATGATCACATGATACAAAAGGGAGGTGTAAATAATGCTGCCTCTGACTTACATGAAAATGTGTCACCCTAAAGATTACTGCATTTCAAAACAAGACAAGCCATACTCACCTCTTCATCTTCCTCATCATCCATTTCTTCATCTTCAGAGTCACTCTCTGCTTCCTGTTTCTCTAGGGCCTTGTCGAAGGCATGGATGGGGAAGTTGTAGATGTCGCCATACTGAAAAACAAACAGACTGCCTTTAACTATTCTTGAGTGTTACATTTTTCAAAGTTCCTCCTTCCCTACAAGCTTATTATTCATCATCAGGGACTAAATAAGAAAACTGTGATGAACAATACTTCTCTAGTTTTCCAACCTAGGCACAGTATGTTTATGACATTTAACAATCAATGGTTGATATTAAATAGATAGCTTCTATGGAGAAGAGAACCAAGTCATTTCAAAGTTATTAATTTATGAAACCACACACATCGGGACAAACCTAATTTTACTTAGAAAGGGAAATAACACATTTTAATCACCTTTCTATCTTTCTAAATGACACTGATCTTAGCCAAAAGGCTAAAAACTCATTTATAAAGATTAGAGTAACACATAGAAACAGAAACTCTAGGCATCAGGACTGAGGATGGAGCTTGGTTGGCAGAGTACTTGTTTAGCACATACAAATCCCCAACATCATACACACTTGCATGGTGACGGATACCTATAATCCAACATGTGAGAGACTGGAGGCAGGAGGATGTAGCTGGAGTTTTCCTGCCTGGCCCACAGTCAGGACAAATCTCTCTCACCTGCCAGTCCCACAGCCGCTCACAGGCAACCAAGTAAACACAGAGACTTATTATATTGGTTACAAACTGTATGGCCGTGGCAGGCTTCTTGCTAACTGTTCTTACAGCTTAAATTAATCCATTTCCATTAATCTATACCTTGCCACGTGGCTCGTGGCTTACCGGCATCTTCACATTCTGTTTCTCATCGTGGCGGCTGGCAGTGTCTCTCTGACTCAGCCTTCCACTTCCCAGCTTTATTCTCCTCCTTGTCCCGCCTACACTTCCTGCCTAGCCAATGGCCAATCAGTGTTTTATTTATTGACTAATCAGCAACACTTTTGACATACAGAACATCCCACAGCAGGAGGATCAAGAATTTAAACTTTTTTTTGCTACATAGTGAATGAATATCTGGGATATCATGAGATACAGTCTCAAAACAACAAAAATAAAACTATAGGGAGATGAGGAGGTGCCAAAGTGAGTGAATGTTTGCTGATGACATGGGCACAGCCATGCCAAGGACCTGAGCATCAGACCCATGGAAGATTGGCAAAGCACTCTTCCCAGGGTGAGGCTCAAGGAATGGCAAAGCTGTGCTCTGGTCTGAGTGCAAATGCTGACGGTGTGTGCAGAAAATGTCTACTATATAGAGAGAGCTCTGCCTCCCCCAACATTTATGAAGACCCCCACTAGAGACTGATCCTAAGATTTAGCTAAACCTGTCTCCTTGGTCCAGCTGTGTACCATAAACCCTGCCTCCTAATTACCTGCATGTAACAACCCTATTCCCTTGTTCAGCTGTATGCCATAGCCTGCCTCCCTGTTCACCTCTATACAGTAAACATGCTGAGCTTCCAAGGTGCTTAGGTTTCTCATCCAGGAGCCCAGTCCACCCAATCCCAGCTTTCTGCCTATCTTTTTATTCTTCGCTGCCTGGAGTCAAGTCTGTCCCTGGACACTGTGCATGGACAGGGAGAAAAAATACTATGACTTTTATGATGTTTTTACACAGAACTGAGCTTGGAAGTACCAACTGGAAATAAGGGCAAATGGAAAAAGTCTCACCAGGAAGACAGGCCTATGTGAATTTGTTTTAATCCATGGACAAATTGGGGTAGGAAGGCTATTTGTGACATGTTTAAAAATAAATGCATTAGCCAGGCAGTGGTGGCACATGCCTTAATCCCAGCACTTGGGAGGCAGAGGCAAATGAACCTCTGAGTTCGAGGCCAGCCTGGTCTACAAAGCAAGTTCCAGGACAGTCAGGGCTGTGCTGTTATATAGAGAAACCCTGTCTTGAAAAACCAACCAACCAAATAAATGCATGTTCTGTGTTTCCTAGCATGTCACTACAACTTAAGAAAGCACTTGTCCCCAACACTACTAGCTTTCTCACCGTATCTTGTTTCAGTCTTTCCAGTAATTCCTTCTCAATGGCATTGTCCAGCTGGGCAGCTATTAATGCTTTTTCCTGTAAGAAAAGGGCAAATCCATTACTCCATTACGACTCATTTTCTAGCCTGTACAAATATAATTACCAATTTTTAATAACAGTATGATGTGGTGTGGTTACTTCCTATTTGCTTCCATTAGTGAAGCTTTTGCTTCTCTGGCCAGACACATTTCTTCTTTCCCTCTCAAAGCCTCTTGGGAACCTTTCAATTAAAGAATTCCCTTCTATAATTTGCATAAATGTAAAAAATAAGTAAAGTGAAAATAATTCCTATGGCTTTAGCAATAGCATTTTGAATTTCTAACAAGCCCCTGATAGATAGACTACACATACAGCTCACATACATTTAAGATTGTCAGAGGGGTCTGGGGAAATGGCCAAGTTGGTAAAGTGCTTGACCCGCAATTTCAGGCTTTCTAGTAATTCCTTCTCAATGGCATTGTCCAACAAACCACCTAGTTTACTTCAGAGCAGCTCAATCCCAGAGCAGTGTGTCCTGGTTTCTGGTTTTCTAACCAACAATCTCACAATCAAAACCTTTGAATTTTCTGAGTAATACAACCAAAGTAGCCATAAGACTACTTAAAGACAGCATTTAAACTCTGCTGAAGGTGATATATGAGACAGGCAACGTCAAAATTCTAAATTCTGAAACATTTGACTTGAAGAATTTTAGATAGTTATTGAAAATACTTTTTCATTGTTTTCCATTATATGGCTTTAGCAATAGCATTCTGAATTTCTAACAAGCCCCTGATAGAGAGACTACACATATATGCTTACATACATTTAACACCTACACACACACACACACCTACAAAGACCCCTGAGTATCTATTTTTAGCCTTCACTGAAAATCATAATAATCTGAAGACAATAAAGAGATGTCAATGAAGATAAACTACCCCCCATTAGTGACTCAATATTATGAATCCCATGCACCCCACTCCTTTCTCACATGGAAATATAGAAGCTTTGTCAATATCAGGACAATATGTTACCTCTCTTCTTTTTTCCCTTCGTTCAACCTTCTTACTCAAAGGAACAAGTTTCTTCCTAGCAGAAATCAAGTACATTATATTAGAAAATTAAAGTTCGCTTTAAAGATTAAAGAAATAGAATTGATTTTTGTGTGGCTAAGTTCCATACCATATAGCAAAACATAGGATAAAGTTTCTAGATATTCAGGCTGCTAGTATAGCTCAGTGACAGAACATCTGCCCAGCACATGCATGGCTCTAGGTGTGGTGTGCATGTGCATATGAGCATGAACACACACACCTACAGTTGAGTGGTATGAAAAGTCAGGAGCCCAGGTTGCGGCTCACATCAGTAGCTTAGCATTAAGAGTGAGGCAGAAGGAGTTAGAAGATACACATTAAGTTCCAGGGCAGCTTGGACTACACACACTACAGGGTGTGACATTGCCTTAACCCTCTACCAAAAGATCATTTTTTTTTTTTTTTGTTTTTTGAGACAAGGTCTCTCTGTGTAGCCCTGGCTGCCCTGTAACTTGCTCTGTAGACCAGGCTGGCCTCTGCCTCCAGAGTGCTGGGATTAAAGGCATGTGCCACCAAGTCAAGCCATAAAACTCAGATATTTGAGCATGAATTGTAATGTGGTTATTTCTGTTTTCTTTAGGTTCACTACATTAAGATTACTGCTTCAGTGAACTAAGAAAAAAGAATTTTCTGAAAAAGGTTCACATGATTTTTGAGATTCTCTGCTAATCTCAATGAAGAGGCCTTCATCTCACACTACTTCAGCAGTTATTCTATTAGTCCTGTGGATCTCACATCATCTTTACTCCAGAGTGTGCTTCATACTCCTGTTAATCACATTTTTAGAGCATTTTGAAACCTTTCATTCCATTTCATTTTGAACAATTTCCAGGTAGGCAGGATAATCACATACTCTGCTTTAAAAATCCTGCAGAACCACTGGACACCTCTTTATCCCAAAGTCTTTTCTTGGCATATCACAGACTAGTCACAGTTGAATTTAATAGAAAACACTGTTTGTGATATGGTCTAGGAAACGGTAATAGACTGAGCATGAATAAAGGAATGAACATGGTCCTTACCGTCGCTTCAGGGTAAGTTTTCTAATTCGAATCAGGTACTGGGTTATCTTGGTAAACCTCTGCTTGCATTTGTGTCGGATGAAGCGAGGCCAATAAATTAAATTTTCATCTATCTGTTCCAGTGCTTTCTCATAGTTTTTACTAAGTCGGACCTGTGGAACAGAAAAGGGAAATATGAAGGGGAAAGGTAAATCATGTTAGGTCTTCATTGTCAATACCCATAGGACATAATGAAGACGGGTTCAAAGTCTAGAGATGGCCCAGCCAAGAGGGAAGCTTGTGGAATTCTTGCTCTTGACCAACGGTCACTGGGTTTTCTCAATGAGTCTTACCCGTTCCCAGAGACGCCGAGGGAAAGCTGCTCGCTCTATAACTTTCATATACAGGTAGCACTGTCCTAAGGACAAGTTCAACAGCCATGTTATTATTTATAGAGAGACAGGGAAGAAGCTTGTGTAAACATTGTGTAGTTTTCCTACCTTTCTCTTCTTTAATGGTGGCATACTGACTGTTTGCCAGAGGACACGAAGACCGATTGCACAGCCCTGTCAGACTGTACTCATTCCTGCAGAAGCCCTGAGTCTTGGTTCTAGGATGCAAGGAGAGAAATGTTTACAACCAAGGGGGCCACTGAATGCATTTCAGTCTAGGCTGCAATATACTCACCTTATTTTGAAAGAGCAAAATTGCCTGTTTCCTAGTGTATTCCAGATAACCTGCAAGACAAAGTGAAAGCTCTTTTGCTCTGGCCCCAAAGATGCTGTTTAATATAAAAAGAGGCAATGTTCTCTAGGCTGCAACGGTGCTCACTGGTGGAATTCTTCCCAGCATGTGCAAAGCCCTCAGTTTAGTCTCCAGCACCACCAAAATACAAACAAAAAGGTGATGAGAACCATGTTAGCACAGTGCTACAGTGCTTCAATGAGAAATGGGTCTTTAGGGAGTGAAAAGAAGTATTCTTTCAATAGACCTGACTCGTTTCCTTTACACAGTAACATAGTCTTGTAAAAAACAAAAACAAAACAAAACAAAAAACTAAATATAGCCTGGTGGTGGTGACACACTTGGGAGGCAGAGGCAGGTGGAGCTCTGTAAGTTCAAGACCAGCCTAGTCTACAGGGCTTATTACTTAGCAACGGAATTTCATTAATAGTTGGCAACTATTTTCCCAGAATATACATACGTTCTACCATCTATAGTATGCCCCTGTGTATAGTATTAAAATGAGCCATATCATGCAGGGTGGTGGTGGTGGGGCACGCCTTTGATCCCAGCACTCGGGAGGCAGAGCCAGGTGGATCTCTGTGAGTTCAAGGCTAGCCTGGTTTACAGAGCGAGATCCAGGACAGGTACCAAAACTACACGGAGAAACCCTGTCTCGAAAAACCAAAAAGAAAAAAAATCCTATCACATATATCTTGTAATTTTTCTTTTTACGTGTTCATTATCCATTGTCAAAGGCTGCACAGTACTAGATACTTAGATACACCTACCACAACTTTACCTTTTACCATCTCTCACTAATTAATGTGTTCTTTATCATAAGGCAAAAAGCAATGACAGCTCCAAGCCCTGACATGATAAACACTCAAGTGTTTGTTGGTTCAAAGTACGGTCCTTCAAGCACTATATTTAGTTAGGGGAAAGTATATAAATGATGCATCAACAAGTTTGCAGTCAATTTAAGAGCCGTATATGAGAGCAAAGAAGTCTTTGGATGGACTGCCTTGAGAGCAATTAAAGGAGAAAATGAAGAAGGGCCAGAGAATAAAACATATGTTGGGGATTTAATAGGGGTGTCTGGTGGGGGAGGTAGGAAACAAAAAATGAAATGGGAAAGTGGGGATACCATTCAAGCTATTGGCTTTTGTTATACAGAAGAGGGCACCAGATCTCATTACAGATGGTTATGAGCCACCATGTGGTTGCTGGGAATTGAACTCAGGACCTCTGGACCAGCAGTCAGTGCTCTTAACCTCTGAGCCATCTCTCCAGCCCGCTATTGGCTTTTAAACATCAGACTTCTTTCCCAAGCACCAGATTTGTCTGTGCATCCAGCTGCCCACTTGGCATCTCTAAAAGGATCCCAATGATAAACATACCGAAACATAACTCTCAGTTCCACACTCCTCTAAAGAATACAACATTCTTCCTGGTTCCCACTAAAAAGACTTAAAAACATTTCCTTCAAGATTCTACCTGACCTTGCCCTGGCAAGCAAATCAAATTCATCAGTCCTCTCTCACCCTCTCAAATCCTGTAACAAGTTCCATGACAAGTCCCATCGGTGCCCTCTATATTCCATCTTTCCCATCTCCAATCTTTGTCCCTTTACCATTCCTACCCTCCTTCAGTGGCCGGCTCATTCCCAGTTTTTTGGTCTTTATTCAAATGTCTGACTCGCCATATATCTGCAGTGGTCTCTCCTCTCCACTCTTCTCCATCACTCCTCTTTCGTGGTACCATTTACCATGCAAAGTCTCGTCTGTTTATTCTCCATCTCCAGAGTACTTATAAAAGCAGTCCTTTTTTTTTTTTTTGTCTGACTGATTAACAACCAAATCCTCAGTAATTACCACCGTGCCTACATACACACTGCTGGAATTGATAAGTATTTACAACTCCTGTAGGATACTTCCGAAATTACGACTCAAGACAGTAGAGGAAGGTAAAGAAAAGCCTAACGCGGAAAAAGTAGACCGAAAAGGAACGCTCACGGATGGGCAGGACCCTTACACATGAATTTTAAACTTCGCACCTCTCCCGCCTTCCAAGTCCCGGGACAATTGCCATTCCGCTGGCAACGGCACAAGGGCCTTTACTGCCAGGAACTAAGTAAGTCGATCCGGTGGGCTGAGGCTGGGGTGTCCCGGCCTTTTAACCGCAGTGGGGCGCTGAGATAAGCTCGACTGGGAAAACGGGGGTCCTGGAAGACTCGCAATCCGAGAGAACAGGAGACGAACGGGCCACCCAAGTCTGCGGATCTGAGTCCTGAATGAGCGAAACGCCCCTCACAAACCCCGGGGCTCCACAGCCACAGGAGGGAACTCACATCGTCCGACTGCATGGTGCCGGCGGGTCAGCACGCCGCGTTCAGGCAGGACCAGGAGAGCGGACATGCTCCTTCCGGGGAGTCACTTCCGGAGAGCCTGGCCTAACCTATCGCGAGAAAGTCTCAGTCTCGCGGAAGCCCGTGACGTCTCCGAATGGCTGAGCGTGCGCGCTCCCGCGCCCGAGCGCTCGTCTTGTCCTGGGCGTGCTCGCCGCCTCCCGCGTCCTTTGCTGTAGGGACGCAGGCAGCGGCGCGCGTGTGTCTTGCATTGTTTTTGGAGCGCTCGTAGAGCCTAGCGTCTTCTTCAGTGACAGGCCACGTTGGCTACTCAGGTGGACTCGCCTCAGGCCTCTGAAAAGCTGGACTCATTTGTCCTAATGGAAGGCGCGCTCCCGACCCCCCATTGTGCACGCGCGCGGGGACTTTAATGCTCACGCCGTCCCACTTTTTTTGTTTTTTTCTTTTTCTTGAGACAGGGTTTTTCTGGGTAGTTTTGGTGCCTGTCCTGGAACTCACTTGGTAGCCCAGGCTGGCCTCGAACTTACAGAGATCCGCCTGCCTCTGCCTCCCGAGTGCTGGGATTAAAGGCGTCCGCCACCACCGCCGGGCTTTACATGGGATTTCTTAACATGGCTGCTTACTTGAACCAGCTAGTGATGAGAATCTCATCACTGGACTCAGCGGGTGAAAGTGCTTTGATGACCTGAGTTTGATCCCCATGTAATGGAGGGAGAGAATTAACTCCTACAGGTTGTCCTTCCCCATCCCCCACACATAGACACAAAACCACTGAGGCATGCATGTGTCCCATCCCTACAACAATAAATAAAGAAAGAAATGTGATGTTTTTAAATAAGATATGGTAATGCCTGCCCCATTATTCTTTTTTGCTTAGGATTGCCTGGGCTATCCAGGGAATTTTGTGTTTCCATATGGATTTTATGATTGGTTTTCTACTTCTGTGAAGACTACCATGGAAATTTTGAATAAGACTATATTCGAGCCATACATTGCTTTTGGTAGGATGGTCATTTTTTTTCTAATAGTCTTCTAGCCTATGAGCATGAGAGGTTCCTCTATCGCGTAGTGTCTTCCTGGATTTCCTTTCTCAGTTTTAAAGTTTTCATCATAGAGGTTCCTCCTCTCCTTGGTTAGGTTTGCTATGAGGTATTTTATTTTTTTTTTTAATTTTATTTATTTATCATGCATGCAGTGTTCTGCCTGCATTCCTGCAGGCCAGAAGAGGGCACGAGATTTCATTACAGACGGTTGGGAACCATCATATGGCTGCTAGGAATTGAACTCAGGACCTCTGGAAGAACAGCCAGTGCTCTTAACCTCTGAGCTATCTCTCCAGCCCTGGTATTTTATTTTATTATTGATGCTATTGTGAAGGGGAGTGTTTTCCTCATTTTCTCCTCAGTATATTGGTCGTTGGTTTATAGAAAGGCTATTGAGTTTTCAGGCTGATTTAGTATTCTGCTGATTTGCTAAATGTCATATTTAGTTCTAGGGGATTCTGGTGTAGTCCTTAGGTCTCCTACATAGAACAGTATCGTCTATGCATAGAGGTATTTTCACTTATTTTCCTACTTGTGTCCTGATTATTTCTTTCCCTTGTCTTATGCCCTAGTTAAGATTTGAGCCTATATTGAACAGGTGCAGAGACAGTGGACATCTCTGTTTTATTTCTGATTTCAATAGAAGTGCCTTGAATTTTTCTACACATAGGATGATGTTGACTACAGGATTGTCGTGTATAGCCTTTATGATATCGAGGTATATTCTCTCTTGTTCTATTATCTCTAGAGCTTTTATCATGAAGATATGTTGGGTTTTCTCAAATCTCTTTTCTTTTTCCATTGAGATGATCCTTTGATGATCCTTTGTAAGTCCATTTATATGATTTATTACCCTTATCAATTTGCATATGTTGACCACAATCACTGCATCTCTGAGATAAAGCCAAGTTGATCAATCATAGTGAGTTATCTTTATATTGTATGCCTGTATTTGTTCTGAAAGTATTCTGTTGAGAATTTTTTTGCATCTTTGTTCATCAAGGATATTGACCTGTAGTTCTCTTTTGTTGTTTTATTTTTGTCTGGTTTGGGTATTGGCTTCATAAACGGTGTTTGGAAGTGGCCTTCCTATTTCTGTTTTGTGGAGTCACTTGTGAAGCATTGGTTGTAGTTCTTTTCCAAGATCTGATAGAATTTTGCTGTGAATCCATCTTGGCCTTGGCTTTTTAAAGTCAGGGGAAAGAGGAGCCCTCATGCACTGTTGATGAGAGTATGAACTTGTGTAGCCACTCCGGAAATCCGTGTCGAGAAGTCTCAAAAAGCAGACACGAGATCCACCATATGTCTTAGCTGTAGCACTGCTTCTCATACCCACAGGACTGACATCCTACTCCACAGACACTTGCAGAGCCATGTTCATTGCTGCTTTGTTTATATAGCTAGACATGGAAGCAACCTAAATGTCCTTCAGTTGATGAACAGATAAAGACAATTTGGCACATATACGGAACAGAATCCTATTCAGTTAGTTGTAAAGAAAAACAAAATCATGAATTTTGCAGGTAAATGGACTAGAAAATGTTAGACTGTGTGTGGTAACCCAGACCCAGAAAAACAAACGCTGCATGTTCTGTCTTTTTTTTTTTTTTTTAAAGATTTATTTATTTATTATGTATACAGAAGAGGTTGCCAGATCTCATTACAGATGGTTGTGAGCCACCATGTGGGTGCTGGGAATTGAACTCAGGACCTCTGGAAGAGCAGTCGGTGCTCTTAACCTCTGAGCCATCTCTCCAGGCCTGCATGTTCTGTCTTAATTGTGAATCCTAGCTCTGAATCTTTAGATGTGAATATATATGTAGTCCGACTTTTTCATCGGGACCGTTGGATCCCTAATAAAGACACGGAGACTTATTATTTACTATGAAAACTCGGCCTATAGCTTAGGCTTGTCCCACTAGCTCCTATAACTTAAATTAACCCATTTCTATTCATCTACGTCCTGCCACACGACTCGTGGCATTTACCTGTGTGTCCTTCTGCATGTCTTGTTCCCTCTCCATCTGGCTGACGACTCTGCCCTCTTCTTCCTAGCGTTTTCTCTGCCCCGAAAATCCTGCCTAGCTATTGGCCATTTCGCTTTTTATTAAACCAGTCTTCACAGTGTACAAAAAGATTATTCCACAACACATATAACCTTGTGTCACATCAGAAACTAGGAAAGTAAACGGGACACTGACAGTTTGGGGAGAGGGATGGTAGGACACAGGTGCCATGAAGAGAAATGGGGGGGTCTAACTGGGAAGTGGGGCGGGGCAGGTTTTGAGGTTTCAAAGGCCACACACCATTCCCAACGAACCCTCTCTGCTTCCTGCTGTGACTCAAGATGTGAGCCCTCAGCCCTCAGCTTCCGCTCCAGCCAGACGCCTGCCCCCTGCTGTCCACTGTCATAGGCTCTAAACTCTGTAGAACCATGAGCCCCAAAGAAATTCTTTCCTCTATAAGTTACCTTGGCCATGGTGTTTTAGCACAGAAATAGAAAAGCGACTAAGACTGCAACCCTGGGAAACTTGCTTAACCTCTTTATTGTCTTCATTTCTCATCTGTCAAGTGGCAACAGTAAGAAAAACTTCAAAGTGTTGAGGTGAACACGGAATGATGTGATCTTCATGAAGGATGTAACAGAACTGCCTGATGCTTAGTTAATACTGTCTGTATACTGTTATTACTGAGGATGGAAAGCCAAACGGGAATCCTGTTCACATGGGTAAGGATTACCAGGCCACTTTTCTTGGCTGTCCAAAACACCCAGAGCAGTGCCTAAGCACATCAACAGGTTGTGTTTAAGTATTTTGGAGGAGATGGGGGTTTCCTGGGGGTTGGATTGAGGCTTCATTCATGCTAGATTAGTTTCCTAAGACAAAGCTATGGTCTCAGCCTACACACACACATACACACACACACACACACACACACACACACACACACACACACACACACACACACAGAGAGAGAGAGAGAGAGAGAGAGAGAGAGAGAGAGGCTCACCAAGATGCCCAGAGTGCTGACTCGTAACTTGCTCTGTAGCCCCCATAGGTCTCCTTGACGTTCATTCCTCTTGCCAAAGCTTCCCGAGCAGCTGGGATTATAGATCTGTACCACCATATCACGGCTCAGCTGTTAAAGTCCTTTGCAATAATTAACTTTCTCTTTAAGCCTTGTTTTCCAGGACTGTAAAAACCAATCAACCAACTAACACAAACCAATCAACCAACTAACACAACCCCCCACCAAACCCACCGAATCCAGTTCAGTCTTTGAATAATTTAATTCACAAATTCCTGTGTGGCTTCTGTACCTGAGTACACAGTCTTTTAATTCAGTATGCTAGATCCCGGTGGCTGATGCCGGTGTGTTTTCTCATGAATTGGGCACTGTGGGTGACTCAGTCTGAACTTAGTCTGAACAGGTCACCTGCTCTGATCTGCAGAAGCCACATCTGTTGGTCAGTCAGAAACAGTGGGCACATTCTTTCCAAGGAGAAATAGCAAATGTTCTGGCAGAAGAGGACTTCTTGAATATATTTTGTTTGTGTTTTTGGCTTTTGTATTAGTGACTCTGATTATCGGGCATCTATTTAAGTGAGACTTGTTAGAACATTATTATTGGGAATGAGAAGAATAATGCTTACGTTTTCTTCCCCTGTCTTTAAGAAGGACCTTAGCTTGTCCTGGATTGGTGAAGTGGAAGGATTCCAGGGGCAAGCCTGGAGGAGCATTTGCTGTGAAATTTAGGTGTACTTCTTGACATGCGGAAGGTGGAACAGCGATATTATCAAGAGCTTCCTTCATTTTTCAGTAAAGTGACCCTCGTAGCTCCCATTTCTAGCTCTCTAGGTTTAGCACAGGGACGTCTTAGATGAGGGGCCTTGAATTCACTTAAAGTACTTTGAAAGCCTGGCTGTTCGCCTTCACCCAACCCTGGAGTGGTTGAAATAGCAGGGCTAAGAGTCCTCTTCAACTGACAGCTTGATCTTCTAGCCTTGATCTCTCGCTTTGAAAGCATTCTCCAACAGAGTCTCCTTAAGGCGTT